TTACATTTCAGAAGTATTTGTTGTCTGCCAGGCAGTGGTGTCACTTGCATTTAATCCCAGCTCTCGGGAGGCTGAGGCTGTGAGTTACAGGTCAGCCTGGTCTACAGAGTGAGTTCCAGGACAGCCAGGGCTACACAGAGAAACCCTATCTCAGAAAAAAAAAAAGAACCAAACCAAACCAACCAAATGTACAAACAAAAAAACAAAACCCACCACCATCACCAAAACCCAACTAAACAAAATGTTGATTATTTGAAGTTAAAATTTAACGAGTTGTTTTGTATTTTAGGTGCCAGCCATACTTAGCAGAGAGAAACCCATAGACACCTGTCAAGATGGGAGGTGAAAGAAGGAAGAATTAATGCCAATGATGGGTAATCTGATGAAGTTGAGAATCAATTACTTCAGTGATCTCTGCCTGATGCCTAGGCAATGCCTTTAGGAAGTGAGATTATGGCCTTTGTTCGTGTAAGTAATGTCTTCTCTCTTGTTCCCTCTTGTTCCAAGCAGTCAAGAATTATCAGTTACTAAGAGAAGTTCACACTGTCTATCTCCTGTTAGTTTGTATTTATTTGTGACCCAAAGGATAAAAGAAAACACAAAATATTAGGAAGAGCTCAGTTTTATGAAAGTGGGAGAAAAGCAAACCCTGTGTTTAGGTGGAGATCCAAAAGCTAACGGGGGTTTATATCCAACTTCAAATGGTGGTAATGTCAGGATCCAAACAAAACGAAGACATCCATTTGTCTCAGGTCAGGGAGCTCCGAGCAAACTGGAAACCTTCTGGAGAAAGACTATTGGCCAGCCGTTTCCTCTCTCAACGTTATTTATTATGATTTAACAGTCTGGAGGTTTTGATCCCTATAGGAGTTTCAAACTCCTTAATTGTAGAACTTCCCTTATTGGGTTACTTTTTATTAACAACGAATTGCTGATCTCAGTTATGTCTAGTTAGTGTGTTTGGTGTTACAGCGATGGACACAAAGTCACCCCTTTATCTACAGGAAGCCACACAGGTTACATAGGTGGCAGTGAAAACGGTAAGCACCCAAGGCTATGGCTTGGCCACTCCTTAGTGAAATCCCTTTTTTGAGAGAAAAGGGGCCACCACTAACCCATAGCAGCAGCTGAGCTCTGGCGGGAGTCCTCTGTCATCTCAGTCACCCGAGACATCTCAGACAAACAGATAGTCTCCGTTTTCTGGCCTTGCCAGCATGCCAGCTCTGCTAAATCCCTTACCCGCCAGACTCCTTTTAGCTTCTCTTAGAACCTTTCAAGTGATCATTTGTGGATCAAGGAAGCCGAGAAGATAGTGAAATTTTTATGCTTCGTCGTGATTATTTTTGCATCACATCACATCCTCAGTGTGTGGGACAGTCAAGATTCTAACTTACAAGAACTTTCCACCTCCCATGACCAGCAGCTCTCAGGTGCTCAGATCCCTAGGCTATGTGGAGCATTCGCTTTTCCCATCTCTTTTCTCTTAAATACGAAAAGGGTTTGATACCTGTGATCTTCCCTCAACAAACAACCTTGGCCACAATTTTCTGATTATAACTTGTATAAGTGAGGATCCAACTCATCCCCACAAAGAGTTGCTGTTACTTACTCAAATAAGTAAGACAGGAAGGAAAGGACTCATGGGGCTGGCCTCAGTTTAGCCTAGATTTAGTCTGCCTGAGTGCCAGCTGGCCAGAGGGGTCTCATCTGCAGTGGTTTAACAATTCGCTGTGACCAATAGAACATGGTAGAAGTTGTGTTATATGAGGTATGGGACTCGAGTCTCAGATGTTGACATTTTATCTTTTCTCTCTGGAACAGTTGCAGCATGCTACAAAGAAGCTCAGGAAAGTCCACGAGGAGAAGAAAGGACAAGCACCCAGCTGACAAATGATTTGTATGTGTGTCCCTCAAGGGCCCACGTGTGAAGAAGAAAGAAGAAAAGCCTTTAAAAGGCTCATGAGTTAGGACTTGGTCCCCAGGTATGAAGCTCCTAAAGGGTAACTGGGCCGTGAGAAGGGTAACTGCATCACAGGCCATCTTAGCTAAAGTTTCTACTGCTGTGCAGAGACAGCATGACCACAGAAACTCTTATAAAGAAAACCTTTTAATTGGGGCTGGCTTATAGCTCAGAGGTTTAGTCCATTACGTCATCATGGCAGGAAGCATGACAGCATGTAGGCAGACATGGTGCTGGAAAAGAAGCTGAGAGTTCTACATCTGGATCATCAGGCAGCAGGAAGAAAATGACACTGGGCCTGGCTTGAGTTTTTGAGACCTCATAGCTCCTCGCCAGTGACACTTCCTTCAACAAGATCACACTTCCTAATAGTGCCACTCCCTCTGAACCCATGAGGACCATTTTTCAAACCCACCACACTGGGTTAACTCATTGATGAGCTTCGTGGCTTAAGGAGCTATTAGAACTGGGCCTGGTTGGATAGCTGTACACCACCACACATGACCTAGTTTTTAAACTCCTCAAAAAGAGGAAATGAGTTTAAGAATTCCAGTCTTGAAGGGAATGTGTCTGTTAGAATATTGAGAGTGAAACTGCCTGAGATACAAAGACCCCAAGAGATTGCAATCTGAAACATTGCTCACTATCTAGGTCAGTCATGTGTCCATAACAATACAACAAAATATGAATTTCTTCACAGCAGGACTCAATGAGTAATTCAACTCATTTTGTGATTATATTTCTGAAATGCTGCTAAAAGAAGTAAGTCGAGGGCATTACTTTTATATTACTTAATCAATGACTTAAATTGAGACATGACCTTGCTGTGTAGTGCTGGGTGGACTAACACTCATTATGTAGCCCAGTTGCCTTAAATTTATTATGATTCTTCCGTCTCAGCTTTCCTAAGTACTGGAATCCACACCTGGATGATTAAGCTCTTAAAAGAAAATTTTCTTAATTTCATTTCCTTTTTTTTCCCTTAGAAATTTGCTTTTGCATTCTTCTACAAAATAGAACTGATGGGATTAAATGTATAATGTATTAAGGGTATAAATATTTTAATCAAGAACAAGGATGTTAGAATTTTCCTAAATTTGAATATTAGGACCCACACATATAGACACATTGTCTTAGTGAGAACTTTTTATCACTGTGAAGGAACACCATGATGACAGTAATTCTTATAAACGAAACCATTTAATTGGGTTGGCTTGCTTACAGTTTCAGAGGTCCAAGTCCATTACCATCATGACAGTGAGCATGGTGGTGTGCAGGCAGATGCAGTGTTGGAGGAATAGCTGAGAGTCCTACATCTTGTAGGTAACAGGAACTTGACTGAGTGTGGGGGCCCACAGATGTGAGCCTGTTCCACCTTGAGTATAGGTCAGAGAGTTTGAGCTTAATTTTGCTCTTCCAAAGTTGTTGACAACAGGTGTGGCTACAAACAGGAGATCCTGACCTAGGGTGTGGTTAATTAGTATTTTGAGTGTAGATGTGAATCTGCTTCATCTGGACCAAAGGTTGAAGAATTCAAGTCTGTTCCTTATACCATGTTAATTAAGTCTGTTGCCTCCCCCTCCCCTTTTAAAGCGAAGTATATAAGCGTGTAGAAAATAAATGTTGGCAGTTCGGAATTCACTGAATTTCCCTCCCAGTGCTGTTCTGTTTGTCTCTTATTTTTCTCATATCTCTGTTCCTTTTGCTTAATAATTCTAATCTTCACACTCATACCCTGGAACATTTGAATTTTGTTGAGACTAGTCCCTGACAACTGAGACTCTGGGTGGTATCTTGAGCATAGGAAACCTCAGAATCTGCCCCTGCTGTGACACATGTCCTCCAACAAGGCCATACTCACTCCAGCAAGCCACACCTCCTCATAGTGCCACCCCCTATGAGATTATGGGAGCCAATTACATTCAGACTGCCACACACATGAACACAAACACACACATACCATTTTCATGCCTACATCTCATATAGCACTTTATAAGAATAATTTAAATATGGTTTAAATTTCCAGTGTCTCTATGTGAAATATGAATCATCAATTATTCTGTGAAGATTTGTTTACATTTTAATTATATGTCTCTCTGTGTGGGTACATACATGTGAGTATTAGTGCCCGTGGAGACCAGAGGCACCAGATCCTCTGGAGCTAGAGTTAAAAGTAGTTGCAAACTACGTGTGTGTGTGTGTGTGTGTGTGTGTGTGTGTGTGTGTGCTAGGAACCAAACTCAGATCCTCTGGAAGAACAGTAGATATTCTTAGCCACGCAGCTATTTCTCCAGTCCCTTCAATTATTTTTTAAAGATTTATTTTTATCTGAAATTGTATGTATGTTTGCGTGTCTATGTGTATGTGTGAAGGGGGTGTCTGTGCACGAGAGTGCAGCTTCCTAAAGAGACCAAAGAAGGGCAGACAGTCTTTGGAGCTGGAGTTGTAGGTGACTGTACACCGCTCAACATGGGTACTGGGAACTAAACTCAGGTCCTTTGCAAGAGCAGAAATTGCTTTAAATATTCCAGACCTAAGTCCTTAATTATTGATTACAATGGTTATGGGAGACACAGAGGACAGTACAAATGAATTCTTATATGTAAGAAAGTTTATTTGAAAGACGTGAAATCAAAGGACATAAAAAAATTCATTTTAGGGAAAAATGCAGAATATATCCAAACTCTCAGGTCTGGGGTTGTAAAGCCAATGCTAAGATAAAAGCTGTAGCAAAAGTCTAATTTACTAGGAATAATAATTTAGAGCCATAAAGTTAATCAATTTGGAGAATTATGATAAATTCTTAGCCCATGAAATAGAAACTAATTTCTACACTGTACTAATATTGGAAGGAAATGGTAGCAAAAGAGAGAATGCAAAGTGAGCCAGGATGTGCTGTCCTATTCTGGGGTGGACCATGGGCTCTGGAATTGTGCAGTCCATCCTGTTAAATGATGTGAATCAGATTCCATGTGTCCCAAAGGCTCACATGTAAGAATGGTCTAGAGGTGCAGAGGGAGATGAGCCTAGAGCAAGGGTCTCAGCAGCAGCAAGGGGTGGCACAGCACATGGGGCGGGGGCAGGTGGAGACGACACAGGTGGGGCGGTAGCAAGTGCTCTGGCAGCAGACCTGACCACAGACTGGACGCAGGCAGCAGCAGGGGCGGCAGCAGGGGCGGCAGCAGGGCTGGCAGCAAGGACTGCAGCAGCTGGAACCCCCACAGGAGGGCTGGCAGCAGCTGGAGATGCAGCAGCTGGGGCGGCAGCAGCTGGGCTGGCAGCAGGAGGGTCTGCAGCAGCTGGGGCGGCAGCAGGGGCGGCAGCAGCTGGACACACAGCAGCTGGGGCGGCAGCAGCTGGGGCGGCAGCAGGAGGGTCTGCAGCAGCTGGACACACAGCAGCTGGGTCTGCAGCAGCTGGACACACAGCAGCTGGGGCGGCAGCAGCCTTGGCCACAGCCCTCCTCAGAGCAGACAGAGCCACAACAGGAGTTGACCATGGTGTCAGAGATGGAGGATGGGTTTTCAGAAGAGTGAAGGTATTGGGTTTGGAAGTCTCCTTGGCCCACACCCCCTTTTATACCTGGCTGAACACCTCATATGACTACATCATCATTTCCTTGTTCGTACTTACCTTCTTGGGAAACTTAATCATTTAATTGCATAATTGTAATATTTCTAGTTAAATACTCCAAAAGAAAGAAAATAACACATTTTATTTTCCTGGTGGGCTCCCATGTTTGGAACTAAAATGCTCATCACATTTTTTTCCATAGTGGGTCACCTTTGACCTTTTTGCAAGTAACTTGTCACATGACTCTCTGACCTTTTGTTTTCTAAATGTGACACTCCCTCCTATCTGCACGCTGTTCCTTGCCAATCAGGGAAATGTTTTTCTACAAAGTCCAGGATGTCTCTTGCTATCACGGAGTATTCTATGTAGATGAGATTTGGAGGGGTGGTTAGCAGGGAAGACCCTTTAGAGGGAGACTGTCCCATCTCTCATGGGGACGATGGTGATAGTGTGCGTCCACTGGAGGATCAGGGAGACGTTCAGACCTGAGAAAGTTCTAAACTATCAAGTCTTATTTCTGCCTCTTGAGTTAAAGGGCTTGGCAATGGCTCAGCCACTTAGAAATAATAGAAATTAAGAATTTTTTCTTTTTGGTTTTGGGTCTTTTTTGTTTTTGTATGTCTTCCTGGAGAATGATTATGAGTGGGAAAGTTTTATTCACATTTTAATTATGTTACCTCATAGTAGTTTTTTTTTTCACTCACAGAGGCAGCGAGAAAAGTTTACAGAGTAGGCACTATGATTTTATTATTTATTATTTGTTGTATGTGTGTGGGTACATACCCTCCATGTGGGTCCTAGGGATGGAACTCAGGTCATCTGGAGTGGCAGCTCGTGCCTTTATTTGCTAAGTCACCTTGCTGGTCTGATTATCTTTTTCATATAGATATAAAATATTTTGAGTTTCTAACTTTGGCAATATATATGCAAGAGTTTTTGCTGGATATTCTAAGCATAGAGCAGGGAGACCCTCATGCCTTTCTGTAAGTGGCTGGATAAGACTCAGGCAGAGGAAACCATTTAACATAAAATAAGGAATTTCAATGACTTCAATTAAATATCTAAAACAAAACATACAGTTTCATGTGCCTTCGGTGGGGGATAGTTTGTAAGATGTCACTATGTAGCAGACCCTGTGTGGGTCATGCCGTCTTTTTTGTTTTTGTTTTTAATGCAGTTCTGTGAAGTGCTGTGCACTCTTCTTTTGATGGAAGAGCTTCACAAAGCACAGAGAGGCTAAAACTAAAAGGTACATCCAAGAGGAAACACAAAGTAAGCTGACCATGCCTCTGAGTACCAAAGGAAGTCTTTGCTGGGCTTATCTCATCTTCTGGGAATGCTTCTCATCGGCTCTGCAAACCCTTCCTCATCCATCAAGACTCGTTGGGGATGTTTCCTCCTGCATGGCGTCTGTCCTCATAAACGACCCTCTTCACATGTCACCACCCCCTGCATCATGCTTCTAGCTTAGCACATAGAGGTTTATGGAGGAGAAGGGAGAGTAGGAGCAGGCCATTGAATATATTAGAAGAAAGACCCTAAAATGGAAAACAGTCCTCTTCGGGAAAAACTACACTTATTTGTCTAACCCGTTACTTGGTCAAATGTTCACACTGTTTATGAGACAGCATTTGCAGTGGTGTATCACCAGACAAAAGGCTAGGCGTAGAAAGCTGCAAAAATCTTGGTTAACAGAGGCAGACTTGTTTTCAGATATTCATGCTTAATCCACAAGTCTATAGCTGTGGGGGTGGGGGTAGGAAGAAGGCGACAAACGGTGACACCTATTTCCTTTTGCCCCTAGACTTCCCAGTTTTTGTCTTACTGTTGGAAACACTATCAATTAGCCAAAACCATCCCTTGACTTTGCTCGAGTTTTACATCCTACAGGACCCCAGACAAAGACTCCATCCCAGAAGGTACAAGAGAGGAATTGGGGAAAGTGGACAGGAGAGGAGAAAAACAATCCCGAGCTTTTGTGTTAATGATGGGGTTATAATATAGGCTACAGGGGGCAGGCCATGGGAAGAGTCTAAGCCTAGATGCATTAGGCTGCCAGGTTAGTCTCCCCAGAATATCTAAGAGAACCAGCTGGGCATTAGTATTAGCCATCAAGTCAGTATAATATGAATTTATGAAAACTGATTGATATCTTAGACATAAACAACAATCCTTCATAAACTGTACTTATCCTTCTCACAAGAAGTGCCAAAATATGTAAATAAACATGCCAAGCTATACACTCAGCCTGGATGCCACTAAGTACAGACATTTCTTGAATTATATCAAACAATTTAAAAATAAAGATAGCACAAATAATGAGTGCGTGCTGTTTATTTATTATGGATATGAATGTGTTTAATGAAGCTGTGAAGCATACCAATGGCTCTCGAATGAGATTAGCAATGACTCATGAAGGGGACTTTACTTTAGGTCACAGACTTTTGTGTTGCTTTAAATTTTAAAGGCTGTGTGAGAAAGAGAGGTGGGGTTCCTATGTAAACTCTCTAATTTTCTTCATGGATTACGTGCAATGTATTTCTGCCATTATGCTTCTGTTCCTGTTTCTATCACTGAAAGACTGAATATTCATTTTAATGAATGGTTCCAGCTCTCAAGTCATATATCATGAATGGTTTTGGGAACAGGTGGGAATCTTCAGAAAGCATGTGCTGAGACAGGGAGTAGCATGCTGGAAGTTCATGGAGACATGCTGTGGGAGACAACGGTCATGGGAAGGAAGGGGACTGGGTACTGGAAGGAAGGGGACTGGGTACTGGGAAAAACCAGACTGGAAGGCTACCTCCTGCGCAGGCTTAGTCAGTCTTCTGAAGAGTTCAGAAAATGGAATGGTATGTTTACAATCTCTAAATGGAGGAAAGGAATGTGGTTCTTTATCACGCCACCCGGGAAAAGGAGGGCAGGTTCAGGGAAGAGTTGCCATCTCCAACAACAGCAAAGGGCTTTCCCCAACCCTCCTTTACATCACCTGTCGGCCTCAGAAGTGATCTTTCTTCATGAAGTACACATGTGGAGAAAAAGTCTGCCACACCTAGCTCTGGAGTAGAACACACAATGACTTCACCCAGCCATGCATTGGCTGTTTGTATTCTCCCAAAGAGCCTGAAAGGTGGTGTGAATTGTGTCCAGTCTTCCCTAATGATTTCTTCTCTTATATAATCAGGGCTGCTCCTTCATTTCAATTCCCCTTTCCCTCTAACAACTACAACGTGATTAATTTACCTGAGACAAAGAAGACGTTTTAGAGAAAATGAGGGAGTAGTTAATGCCATTCCATTTCTGTTGGAGGTTTGACTAACATGTCCTGTTGACTTTTAAGGATAGTGAAAATACAATTCACACTTAGGCAGTCGTGTTGGCGAGACTTACGGGTGTAGACTCTGATGTTTCCAGGAGACATGCTCTCACAGCAAACTCCCGGACTCTCTGGCGCTTACCGTCTTTCCATCCTTTCTTCTGCAATGTTCCCTGAGCCTTAGGTGAGGGAGTGTTTTATAGATCTATCTGTATATCAGGACTGGGCTCCCCAACTCTGCATATTGATTGGTTATGGTTTTCTGTAGTGGATTCAACAGGTTAGATTTAGGAATAGATGCATACAGTAACTGATGAAAAGAGAGGTAGCGGGTTTGAAGGAGAGCAGGGAGGGGTTCTGGAAGGGTCTGGAATGACAATCTCAGAAACAAGCTAACTAAATGAAGGAAAAATTACATTAACCCTGGAAGTATATGTAAAGTTTTTTCTCTTTTTTGTGTTTTTAAAATGTTCCCTCCCTCCCTCCCTTCCTCTTCCCCCCATGCATTTGCAGTTGCCACAGCATGCATGCAATCAGAGAACAACATGTGGGAGTCAGTTCTCTCCTTCCACAATGTGCGTGCCAGATTTGGAACCCTGATCATCAAGTGTGTTGGTTAAGTGCCTTTATCTGCTGAACCATTTTTCATGCCCCCTGTTTTATTTACATACTTTTTAATAAATAAAGCAAAAATCACATTCAATTTTCAGTACCCATGGGATGGATGTTTATTTTTTGTTACGGAGAAATAGCAAAGTATGACAATTTTTGCAAAGACTGTAAAAGACACTGTATTGGGTTTTAATGGCAGAAGGGTTAAAATGTGTGCTCCTTCAAGTGCCAAGGATAATTTAAATTCCTCCAGCCCGATGGATAGATAAAAAAGACAAGGGGAGACATGTTGGGAGAGACCTGTTAAGTCATTGGGAAATTTTTGATAAATTCATTCTAAGAGGAAGAACTTTGGACAGAAGTCAGAATGCACACACAAAACAGCTACAAATAAGACTGACTTCTGGGACTCAGAAAACCAAGTACCTTGGACACTAGGTAGTTCCTAGAAGAAAGGACTTCATCTGTAGAGAATACGGAGATAAATGGTGCTTTCAGAGAGAAGATTTAGCAGCAAGGGGTGGCACAGCACATGGGGCGGGGGCAGGTGGAGATGACACAGGTGGGGCGGTAGCAAGTGGTCTGGCAGCAGACCTGACCGCAGACTGGACGCAGGCAGCAGCAGGGGCGGCAGCAGGGGCTGCAGCAGGGCTGGCAGCAGGGACTGCAGCAGGGCTTGCAGCAGGGCTGGCAGCAGGGGCTGCAGCAGGGCTTGCAGCAGGGCTGGCAGCAGGGGCTGCAGCAGGGCTTGCAGCAGGGCTGGCAGCAGGGGCTGCAGCAGGGCTGGCAGCAGGGGCTGCAGAAGGGCTGGCAGCAGGGGCTGCAGCAGGGGCTGCAGCAGGGGCGGCAGCAGGGACTGCAGCAGGGGCTGCAGCAGGGCTGGCAGCAGGGACTGCAGCAGGGCTGGCAGCAGGGGCTGCAGCAGGGCTGGCAGCAGCTAGAACCACCACAGGAAGGTGGGCAGCAGCATGGCTGGCAGCAGCCTTGGCCACAGCCCTCCTCAGAGCAGACAGAGCCACAACAAGAGCTGACCATGGTGTTGGAAAGTGGAGGTTCTGGGTGTGTTTACAAGGTGGTGAGAGTTCTAGTCTGGTCTCTCTCCTTGCTGTCTCTTGCTTTTATACCCTGCTGAGGGCTACTAATCACAGGGCTCTTGTTTACACTACAGAAGATAAGAGTTTTAGTCAATTAGTTGTGTTTATCTATAAATAGAAAGGCTGCTTCCTTTTCCTGTTGTATTCTATGCTAATTTGACAAAGCTAAGAGAATCAGCTTCCCTTTTTCTTCCTTTGATACATCCCCTGAGTTAGACACAGTCCTTGACTTTGTCTCCTTGGGTTTAGAGGTAATTCTTTATGTCTAGCTTTATCCTTGGAGGAGCATGTTCAGAACATACATACATGGTGACTATACCTCTGGCAGCAATGAGTTTGAAGCAGGTCTTATAGGATACTGGTGGAAAACCAGGATGGAATATTGGTGTTTCGGGAGTATGAAGGAGATAGCTTGCAATCAGCACAGAGTGTTTATTTCCTACCTAGTCAGGCAGGTGTGAGCAAACTTAGTGACGGTCATATCAATTTCTTCTTATTTAATCTCCCCAAGGTGAAATGGCATTGCAATGACAATTATTTTTGAATAGCAAAAGCATGTTGACATGATGGGTCCCAAAATTGTTAAATTACTAATGTTTTTCAGACTTGGGTGTTTTTTTTTTTAATTTATTTATTTATTAAGGATTTCTGCCTCGTCCCCACAACCGCTTCCCATTTCCCTCCCCCTCCCCCGATCAAGTCCCCCTCCCTCATCTGCTCGAAGAGCAATCAGGGTTCCCTGACCTGTGGGAAGCCCAAGGACTGCCCACCTTTATCCAGGTCTCGTAAGGTGAGCATCCAAACTGCCTAGGCTCCCACAAAGCCAGTATGTGCAGTAGGATCAAAAACCCACTGCAATTGTTCTTGAATTCTCAGTATTCCTCATTGTCCGCTATGTTCAGCTAGTCCGGATTTATCCCATGCTTTTTCAGACCTAGGCCAGCTGGCCTTGGTGAGATCCCAATAGATCATCCCCATTGTCTTAGTGTGTGGGTGCACCCCTCGTGGTTTTTAAGGGCACATTTTGTTCAACTTTTTGAGAAGTCAACAAACCCAATGAGTTTGTGTGAGGCAATCATATTAATACATTGTCTGCAAGTATGAAACTCCCAAAGAATAAATAAAAAGGAAACTTACTACTGTTGTTTATGTAAATTGAGATAAAGGCAAATTGTTTTCTAGGTGTGCATGTTCGTAACTGTAGACAAACGCTACTCTTAGCCTTAAGCAGAGAAACTTCTCTTTGCAGCCAAGAGCTGCAAATACAGAGATGTACCGGGGCCCAAAATGCCGAGAGTAAGTGACAGCTGAACGCTGAGCTATAAGTTCTCATACCACATTTTCTAAGGCTCAGGGAATGTCGCCAAAAAGTGCAGTAGACGAATGTACGATCAGAAGATAGGAAGGAAGGCTGTGATCTGCCACCCTCCAAGCAAGGAACAGTCTCTGCCAGTACCGACTCAGCGTCTGTTCTTCCCCGCTGTGATCCTGCACAAGACTGGCCCTGTCAGCAATCAGTCACGCTTTAGGGCAGGGCTGTCATCATTCCTGCTGAACTTTTGGCTACAGATAGATTCTGGGCAAGGTGTAGTCCTTGCTTTTCTTTCCTTTACTCACTGGTGAGTAGATCAGGCTCCAGTAAGCACCAAACAGATAGGTTCAGTTTAGCTTAGTGGACCACAAAACAAAAAGACATAAATGAGGGAGCAGTATTTGTAGTGACAGCATTCGGGGGAGGGGCGCTAGTGGGGAGGCAGACAACGCTCTCCTGACAGAAATCTAAGCCTTGGTTTAATAAAAATGGGACAGAGCTAAAGAGACAGTCCTCAAAAAACAAAACAAAACAAAACAAACAAACAAAAAAACAACTACAAACACAGCCTCCTGCTGGCTCAATGGGCACCCCAGGACCCCTTCTGCTGGCTCAGCAGGCCCCCAAAGGCCCTTGCTGGCTCAGCAAGTGCCCCCCTGACCAGCCTTAAAGATAGCTTTTCCTACCCTGTTGCTGGAAAGTTTCTAAACACTAGGATCTCCCACCAATCAGCACCCATACTAATCTCTCCCACCAATCAGCCCAGATTAATCCCTCTTCCCTGGAATTCCCCTAACTTTTTTTAAAGGAGCCTGTGACCTTCTTTGGGGTCGCCTAGTGCCACCCCAACATTGGAATTAATAAAACGCTCTTGTTGCTCACGTGGCTGTTGGTCTTTGGGGGCTTCTGTAGGACCTTAACAGTATGAAGGCGGAGAACTGATGGAGTGTGAAAGAGATAAAAAAGGGTGGGGGTGAGAATAATCAGAATGTATTGTACCAACGTATAAAATTGTCAAAATATTAAATAAAGAATAAATTAATTCAAGAATGACATAACTTCAGACATTAGACGTTTGTGATAAGTGGTAGATAATCGCGCTCCATTTCCACTTTCCAGGAAGCTTGAAATGTCTTAAAAAGGCACAGGAGAGATGAAAGGTGCACATTTATAATTATGTTTCTGATATTTTGTTTTATTTATTTTGTTACTTTTGATTTTACTGTTTGCTTTTACTCTTTTTTGTTTTGTTTTTTTTTTTTTTTTTTTAAGAAAGAGAGAACACAAAGCTTGCTGGGAAGGGAGGTGAGGAAGATCTGGGGAAGCATGGGGATGGGAAAACATTATCAAAATATTTTGCCTGAAAAATGTTAAAAGAGAAAAAGATAAGGTAACAACATTAATATAATAATAATAACTTTGTTGATATTTGAGGTGGAAGAATTACCTCCAATTAAATAGGACTGATTATTTAAAGGTAAAAATTAAAGAGATTAGAAAAAGGATCAGCTGTTTAAGGGGAAAAAAGATGTTTCATACAGAGCTGCAGGACAATGGGAAGAAAAGCATGAAAACATCAAGGCCTTGAAAATATTTGGAGGTGGGGGCATAGTCATATGATCTTTCATGCAGAATAAAAGAAATAAAATAGAGATGATACTTTTCACCCATTAGTTTGTCAAAAGCTCAAAATTTGACAATATGGAAATAAATGTGCTCATAAGTTTCTTGTGATTTTCCAATAAATAGTATCATTATTCTTGGGCAAGCTATTCCAAATCTATAACATATTCCCATATATAATCTGGAAGAAATATGCGAAAATACTTTTATAAGATTATTTATACCAGTTCTACTCATAAGGGGAAATAAAGTAACAAAATAGAACTGGACATAGCCTGGGCATCCTTAATAGGATACAGAGGACCAAATGACAGCCACTTTCTGTAACACAGCACTATGCAGCCCCAAAAGTGAAGAGGGTGCCTCTCTGAGGGCTGCTATGAAACAGTATATTGTTAAGTATCAGAAAAGTAAGTATAGCAAACAAACACCACATTGTATGTCTAAACAGTCCATGATGCAAATATATGTGTGGGCTGGAGAGCTGCCTCAGACGTTAAGAGCACTGGCTGCTCTTCCAGAGGCCCTGGGTTTGTTCCTTAGCACCACATGGTGGCTCACAACTATTGGTAACTCCAATTCCAGTGTGTCTGACAGTCTCCATTGGCACTAGGCACTCATGTGGTGCATGAACATACATACAGACAAAACACCTACACGCATAAAATGAAATTTTAAAAATTTGTCACACACATGCACATTCACTTAAAATTTCAGATGAGAAAGTAAAGGAAGAGGAAGTGAAGACATAAGAATAAAAGATCCCCACCAAAAACCAAGATTGAGTAGCAGGAGTGGGCTTAATTCTTGCCTGAGACAACTGAAAAGCCAAACAGAAAGGAAACACAGATTTGTAGATATTGGCTGTCAGGTAGGGCAGGAGACTGGGCTATTGATGTGTGGCAAAGAGTCGAGAGGAGAAGGAAAGGATCTTGTGTTCTCTTTGAAGACTAGCCATCCCATTATCTTTAAATGAAAATATACCTTGTCTTTCAACAATAGCAACAACAACAACAAAAATCTCTTTCTGCTCCAGAGGGCTCAGGGACATTCGGGGACCTAAGGTCTTTAGTTGCACAACCCAGATGCTACCATTTCATATCACAATGTTAGGGGGTCTGTCTTGGTGTGGCAGAACCATCTAGACTGAGAGAAGAAGCATCCTGGGGCTTGGTTTCTTTCAGTCACAGATTCCTCTTCAGCTTCATCTTCCTCTGTTTGCAAATGAGAGCTTACAGACTAACACAGCCCCTCATCCCTCACGTCCCTCCTCTGACTTCATGCGTATAACTTTCAGCTTTCATTTTTCTCCTTTTAGAAAATCAATGGCCCTCAGCTAGAGATACCAACTCTACTAGCTTTGCAGTTACTATGAGATGTTTGCATATGCATATTATCAGAAGGTGCAGACCCATAGAATATGGGTCTTTCTAAAATAAATTTCTAATTTTTATCCATGGCTTTTCAATATTGTCTAAAAACAAAGGAGACTGTTGATGAAAAAAGGCAAATGTAGTTTAATTTTTTTTTTTTATTTTTACCAATAAAGCTTTTTCATTCACCCTACAGGTATGGCCAAAACACAAGTTCTTCAGGATTAAGAAGAAATCTTAGAGACTTATAAAATCACACTGGATTTTCTATATGGGATAGTAGTGGTTTATTTTGACACAGTGATTCAGCACAGGAAAACCAGAGGAGTAAGGATGACCAAAGTGTATCTTCAATGAACAATTAAGAGACTATAAATATCAAACAACACAGAAATATTGAAATCAGCCTGTGAACCTTTGAGCTTTGTGACCTGAACCTAGGAATTAAGAGAAATCTAGGAAGGACTGGTCAGGTCAGTCCAACCGCTTGTGAGGTACAAGCAAGTCCAGACATAGATGGGGAGGAGAGGGCGACATGAGGGATTTGGATTGAAGTTAGAATAGCTATTGTTGGGTCCAATAAAACACAGAGATAGGATTCAACAAGACAATATTGAACCCATCCTGTGCATCCTTGTGGCCGATGATGGGGACAGAGGTAAAATATAAGCTGGATCCATGGATGGAGGCTTAGCAGCAGCAAGGGGTGGCACAGCACATGGGGCGGGGGCAGGTGGAGACGACACAGGTGGGGCGGTAGCAAGTGCTCTGGCAGCAGACCTGACCACAGACTGGACGCAGGCAGCAGCAGGGGCGGCAACAGGGGCGGCAGCAGGGCTGGCAGCAAGGACTGCAGCAGCTGGAACCACCACAGGAGGGCTGGCAGCAGCTGGAGATGCAGCAGCTGGGGCGGCAGCAGCTAGGCTGGCAGCAGGAGGGTCTGCAGCAGCTGGGGCGACAGCAGGTGGGCCTACAGCAGCTGGACACACAGCAGCTGGGCCGGCAGCAGCTGGGCCTACAGCAGCTGGACACACAGCAGCTGGGACGGCAGCAGCCTTGGCCACAGCCCTCCTCAGAGCAGACAGAGCCACAACAGGAGCTGACCATGGTGTCAGAGGTAGAGGTTCTGGGTGAGTTTCTGAGAAAGTGAGTTTTGAGAATTTGAAGGTCTCCTGGTTGATGTGCCCTTTTATACTTTTCTCAGCAACTGGTGTCACCATGAGCAAAACCCTTTTCCTTGTTTTTTCTTATTAGGGCGTTAATTAGTGTTATTAAGGCATAATTATATTTGCAAGGTTAAATATTCCAGTGTGTAGAAAAGGCATCAGTTTCTTTTTCTGCATTGTTGTGATTCATTGAACTGGGGCATGTGAAATGGCATTTGTGCTTCTGTTTCTGCCTGTGCACCTTCTAAACTGGGGCTAGCACATGGTACATACGTCACTCTGTGCCTGCTTGATAATATTTCTGGAATGGCTCACAAGATGTTGCCTCTCTTTATGTGGGTATGCATAAGTTATTGCCTGGTAGAGCACTGGTAAAGAGAGAGCCAGGGGAAAGATTTTTTGACTGTGTTCATAGCTCATTGTAAAGACTGTACTTGAATGGTTAGCTCTATATATGACAAAGACCCATTTATCCCCTAGCACTCCTCTCTACATATGGTATATGAAATGTGAATGGGTTTGATTCATTGTTTGATAAGTCAGCATACACAGTGGATTCTGATTTCTATTTTAAAAAAGTCTCATGTGAAGCAACCTTCCCTGACACTCTTTCAATAATGATGGGTTTGAGACACTGCTTGGATAATGAGGGCATAGAAGGCTTTGCTGTTTGTCCAATAAACTCTAAAGTATGCTATGTCAAAAGGGAAATTATGAAACAAATTGAAAGTTTTGAAGACCAGGATTCAAATCAAGAATTAAACAGCTCATATACTTTTCAATAAAAATCAAGATCACAGAAATCATTGCTGTTAGTGTTGGCCATGCTCCAGATCTCCTAATCATGTGTTGTGATTATTCTGGTGAGTTTACTTTTCAAAGAACTCACAAGGAACATAGTCATTACAGCTCCTGCAGAAATGAGTTCAACTTGTTAGAGACTTTGGTAGTCCCCAAGGCAGAAATATTAACTTCCACACCTTTTATTGTCCTGTTTCTTCTCCTTAGAATGAGAAAGAAAGTGGGAAGTACACTTGAACGCATTGGCACAGGAGACCACTTTTTAAATATAACCTGAGCAGCACAGACACTGAGAGAAAAAAATAATGATTGGGACCTCCTGAAACTGAAAAGCTTCTGTAAAGCAAAGGACACGGTCAACAAGAAAAAACGACAGCTTACAGAATGGGAAAAGATCTTCACTCAGACAGAGGTCTGATCTCCAAAATACACAAAGAACTCAAGAAATTGGATACCAAAAGAACAAACAATCCAATAAAAAAAAATGGAGTACAGACCTAAACAGAGAACTCTCAACAGAGGAATCTAAAATGGCTGAAAGACACTTAAGAAAATGTTCAACATCCTTAGTCATCAGAGAAATGCAAATCAAAACAACTCTGAGATTCCATCTTATACCTGTAAGAATGGCCAAGACCAAAAACACTGATGACAACTTATGTTGGAGAGGTTGTTGGGAAAAGGAAACACTTCTGCATTGCTGGTGGGAATGCAAGCTGGCACAGCCCCTTTGGATGTCAGTGTAGCGATTTCTCAAAAAATTAGGAAACAACCTTCCTCAAAGCGTAGTAATACCACTTTTGGGTATATATCCAAAGGATGCTCAATCATACCACAAGGAAATGTGTTCAACTATGTTCATAGAAGCTTTGTTTATCATAGCCAGAACCTGGAAACAACCTAAATGCCCCTCAACCCAAGAATGGATAAGGAAAATGTGATATATTTACACAATGGAGTACTACACAGCAGAAAAAATAACGACGCCTTGAATTTTGCAGGAAAATGGGTGGAGCTAGAAAATATTATTTTGAGTGAGGTAACCCAGACACAGAAAGACAATTATCACATGCACTCACTTATAGGTGGTTTTTAAACATAAAGCAAAGAAAGCCAGACTACAAACCACAATCCCAGAGAATTTAGACAACAATGAGGACATTGAGAGACTTACATAGATCTAATCTACATGGGAAGTAGAAAAAGACAAGATCTCCTGAGTAAATTGGGAGCATGGGGACATTGGGGGAGGACTGAAGGGGAGAGGAGATGCAGGGAAGGGAGCATAGAAAAATGTAGAGCTCAATAAAAATTAAAAAAAAATGTACCTTCTTCTGCTTCTTCCCAGAAAGTTCTTTTACTTCAGGTCACATGCTGTGTGTACATATTTGTGAGCTACAGTGCAATTTCTTGACTTGTGTGCATATTGCATAATGCTTACCTCAGACTAGTTAGAATATCAACCAACTTAAATGCTTATTATTTTTTAGCTTGAAGGCTGTCTTTACATTATTATTTTAATACAAGTTCACATTGACTACAGGTCTTATTTATTAAATGTTCTTATACTGTGCACAGTTGGTTACAATTTGCTTTGGCTCACTTAATGTACCACAGCAATGGCAAATTACTGTTTATTCTATAGTAGTGGCATCAGATATTTCTCATTGAATTTCTGCTATCCAGTACTCAATTTTGTGGGCATAATACAGCTCATCTGGAGAGTCTTTTACTGAGAAATATTTGGGCTATTTCAGGTTTTGCTTTGCTTTCTTTCATGTGAACAAATCTAGTCAGTTTTTCTGTGTGTTCACTCTTTAGTCTCCCAGTATATTGACTTTTGCTCTGATTCTTGCATCTCCTAGAGCACCTCAACCTTCCTAATGCTTCAACCTTCAACAGCAGGTCCTCACCTTGTGCTGGCCTCAACCATAAAATTATTTCATTACTACTTCATAACTGTAATTTTCCTACTGCTATGAATCATAATGTAAATATTTGTGTTTTCCAATGGTCTTAGGCAACCTCTGTAAGAAGTCATCTACCCCCCCCCAAAAGAGGTCATCACCACCACCATGCACTGTCCTAGAGTTTCTGAGTTGAGGTTTTGCTCTATACTTACGTACTTATGGTACTTATGTCACCATCAGCACAATAATAATTGTCTCTACAATGCCTTTGGGTTATTCAGCTCATTTAATTTTTGTCCTAAACAAATAGCTGAGGGCTTAGTTTTATTTTATCCCTCATCCGTGAGCCTGCGTTTCTGGCTTCCTCTTCAAACTATAAGATTTCAGGTGCTCTCTAGAGCAAAAAGATAGGATATGTCATTAATAAAAATATCCTTTTGAGGGGATAGTTTCCATTTTTCACCTAAAGTGGAATTCTAAAGCTCAATTTTATCCCTATGACTAAAATTACAAGCAGAAATACTATGCACATTTCCCTCCCCCTCCCCCGATCAAGTCCCCCTCCCTCATCAGCTCAAAGAGCAATCAGGGTTCCCTGACCTGTGGGAAGCCCAAGGACCGCCCACCTCTATCCAGGTCTAGTAAGGTGAGCATCCAAATTGCCTAGGCTCCCCCAAAGCCAGTACGTGCAGGAGGCGGTGGCAGAGAGGAGGCAGAAATCCTTAAATAAATAAATAAATTTAAAAAAAAAAGAAAGAAAAAAACAAAACAAAAAAAAAAGTCCAACTTCACACTTAAAAAAAAATAAAATAGTGGGCCAGGTGTAGGGATATACATCTGTAATCCCAACTGAGGCAAACAGACTTTTGTGAGTTTGAGACCAGTCTGAGCTATACAGTGAGACCCCATGTAAAAAACTGTTTAAATAGGAGCAGCGGGCTGCGTCCCCGGCACCCGGCCGCCTGCACGGCTAGCTTAACCCGAAATAATTACACACAAACTGTATTCATTTAAACACTGCTTGGCCCATTTCTATCTAGCCTCTTCTAGGCTAACTCTCGCACCTGGACTAGCCCATTTCTTATAATCTGTGTAGCCCATGAGCTGGCTTACCAGGAATGATCTTAACCTGTGTCTGCCTGGAGTGGGAGAATCATGGCGACTCTCTGACTCAGCTTCTTTCTCCCAGTCTTCTGCTCTGTTTTCTCCTCCCACCTATGTTTTAACCTATGAGGGCCAAGCAGTTTCTTTATTGCTCAACCAATGAAATCAACAGATAGAAAGATGACCCTCCTCCATCAAAAAACAAACAAACAAAAATAAACATGAACTGGCTATAAAAAAAAAGAAATATTATGCGCAAACTGAAGAGGACAAAGGTTTTATTTTTTATTTGTTTTATTATTATTTCTTTCTATTTACCATATATGGTGTGTTGTCAGTACTTTCATCTGTGTAACATGCGTGTACCTGGTGCTCATGGAGACCAGAAGAAGGTGCTGGATTCCTTGCAACTGGAGTCACGGTCAATTGTAGGTCCCCAATGTTGGTGCTGGAACTCAAACACAGGTCCCTTGGAAGAGTAGCCAATGCTCTTAACCATTGAGCCATTGTCTCTCCATCCCCTGGAAAAACATTTGAGAGGGAACACATCAGACACTTTGCTGAGAAACCCCATTATGTGTAGACTCTTGAGTGCAGTCTTGTGCGTGTTGGTTCTCATTGTTGCCTCGGCACTCACAAGGGAGGCTGGGTTGGAAGCATACAGCAGATGCTCCTTGAATGAGTGTGTGAGAGAAATCGGAGAGGAATCTGGCAGCAGACTCGCTGAGCAGGCCCACATGTCAAAAGGATGGAACCAATGCCAGGAGCTGGGCTCTTCTCATGTGGACATGCAACCTGCAGCTGACCACAGTTAGACCACAGTTTGCTTGTCTAGTTTCCCCACTGGATCTACCCTCTCCTCTGAGATATGATTCTGTCCTCTGGATATATTGGGATTTGAAAACTTTCTATGAAAAGGAAAGGCAAGTTGTGGGTAAAGTACAACTCCATTTCAAGTACATTTTAATCTGCTGTTCGAATATGCCTGCTATATTATTTTCTAATTAATACATGAAGTTAACATACAATGTAGGGGTAGCCTCATGTACCGAGTTTCACCTTGGCATCTTTATACATAGGTGTTAATGTGCTTTGTTCTTCTACCGAAGCCCTGCTCTACATGGAGGCAGAAGCAGTATGGGCTTGTGGCCTCTGCATCCCAAAGGTGCAAGCTATCCCGTGTGAAGTGTGAGGCACACGTTGTGCTGTTCATGCTCTGACATTCATAAAGTCCTGCAAGTATTGTTCCTTTTCACAGCTTCTCTCTTTTCCCAAAGTTGATTCACAGGGATAAGTAGTTTGCCTATGAAATAGTAAGACGCAGGGAGAAAAGTCAGCCAGTGGAGGCTGAAAAGCAAGAACATTTTCTTCTGTGCTCTGTAGGTGAAATACACTTGCTGTGTGTGTATGTCTGGCGTGTGTGTGGTGTGTGTGTGTGTGTGGTCTGTGTCTGTGATGTGTAGGGTGCGTGTGTGTGTGTGTGTGGTGTGTATGTCTGGTGTGTGTGTGTGGTGCATGTGTATGTCTTATGTGTGTGTGTGTGTGGTGTGCGTGTATGTGTGGTATGAGTGTGTATGGTATATGTTTTTGTATTCTGTAGGTGAAATACACCTCTCATGTGTGTGTCTATTTGTATGCGTGTGATATGTCTGTGGTGTGGTGGTGGTGGTGGTGGTGGTGGTGGTGTGTGTGTGTGTGTGTATTTAAGTAGGCCAGATGTCAACCTCTGATGTCATCCAGCAGGGTCTGTCCATCTTAGTTTTTGAAACAGAGTCTCTCCCTGGGACCTAGAGTTCACCAATTAGGCTAACATTGTTAGCCCAGCAGCCCAAAGGACTCACTAGCTTTGCTGCCCCAGCACTGAATTTGTGAGCATGTGCCACCACACCTGGCTTTTACACAGATTCTCATTATTGAATTCAGGGCCTCACCCTTGTGCAGCAAGTGCTTAACTGACAGAACTGTCTTCCAACCCCCAAACTCACTTGTTTAAGAAGAGTAGGCACCTAGGCTGGGTGGTGATTGCACAACCAACACTTTAATCCCAGCACTTGGGAGGCAGAGACAGGTGGATCTCTTTAAGTTCGAGGCCAGTCTGGTCTACAGAGCATGTTCCAGGATAGGCTACAAACCTACACAGAGAAATCCTGTCTTGAAAAACCAAAAGATAAAATAAAAAAAAAAGAATACAAAAGAAGAGGAGACACCATCTTAAAAGAATACCAGTCACATTGAATTTTTATTGCAGAGAAATGGGAAGTTTGATTTGGTACAGAAATATATCAGATTATTCCAGCTACGAAGTCCTGTAGAGAAGGTATGAGATGTGTTTTTCCAGTTGTTTGTTGGCTGAGTAAAATTTGTTTCCAGATGAAATCCAGATTCCACTGTCTGGCTCCTCACTGGACTTGTGAAAATGAGTTCCACAGCATCAACCCACATACACAAAAGATCTAAATCTAGAGAGAGGGAGATGGATTCATGGCAAGGGTCTCAGCAGCAGCAAGGGGTGGCACAGCACATGGGGCGGGGGCAGGTGGAGACGACACAGGTGGGGCGGTAGCAAGTGCTCTGGCAGCAGACCTGACCGCAGACTGGACGCAGGCAGCAGCAGGGGCGGCAGCAGGGCTGGCAGCAAGGACTGCAGCAGCTGGAACCACCACTGGAGGGCTGGCAGCAGCTGGAGATGCAGCAGCTGGGGCGGCAGCAGGAGGGTCTGCAGCAGCTGGGGCGGCAACAGGTGGGCTGGCAGCACACAGACTGGCAGCAGCTGGGCCTGCAGCAGCTGGACACACAGCAGCTAGGACGGCAGCAGCTGGACACACAGCAGCTGGGACGGCAGCAGCTGGGCTGGCAGCAGCCTTGGCCACAGCCCTCCTCAGAGCAGACAGAGCCACAACAGGAGCTGACCATGGTGTCAGAGGTGGAGGTTCTGATTAGTAAGGGAGTGAGTGGTGTAATGAATCTGAAAATCCCCCTGCTTTGTGCCCCCTTTTATATTCTGCGAAGGGTGCTGTGACCACGGCCTGGAGTATTTCCAAGTTGTTTTTCTTTTCCCTGAAGAAATAGGCATCATTACGTCTGATAATTGGTTTTCCTTTTAAAATACTTGATGCTAAAGAAAAATAAGATTTCCTTCTCCTTGAGCTTTAAGATTACTCACTGTGGTTTTTGTCATAGAATTGCCTTCTCTGTTTCCTTGTTTGTCCACTGTGCTTCTTGGATGGGTCCACCTGACGGGGTCAGTCACTGTTTATGCCTGCGGTTTGTATATCACTCATCATGCTACTTCAGCCAATGTGTCTCATGATGCTCAATCTCTTTTGATGTCGAAGGGAAGCATAATGAGAGTAGGGAAATGGCGGGTGGGGGGAGGTTATCCTTGTGAGGTAGCTCCCTGTGAGCTATGAGGAAGAGAATCTTGTCTGTGAGTCACGGATGCTCATTAGATGGTAGGCCATCTGGACTACCCCGGGCTACGCAGTAGAAATGATACTTCCTTTACCAAGTTTCAAACTGTCACCAATGACTCACTGGTTTAAGTCTGAAAAGGCCTTTGGTGCCACCTCGAAGGCACTCTCACTGACCCAGTATGGGACAACTTAAACCCCAGAGCAAATAATGACAGCAATGGATTTCAACACATCATGTAAAATAAGAATAACCAGTCCATACCAAGACTAAGTAGAGAAATAGAAGACGGCGAGAAAGAAGCTCTCCACAACAGTGGAAGGTGATTCGTTAAATGGGAAAGGAGTAAGGGAGTCTCTATATCCCTCATAATAAAACTTGGTCAGGGAAATCTCAATGAATCCTAAAATGATTGGATAAAAGTTTGACTAGGAATGTGATATTTGTATATTTCAAAATATTTCTCTTTCAATTATTTATCAATTTCAAAATGGAAAAAATACTAAGTTACTATGAAAGAACTGTTAACCTGGGAATCAGAATTGGTTTTAGGGCTGTGAAAATGGCTCAGCGCTTGCTTGGCCAGCATGAAAACCCGAGTTCAAACCCCAGAAGGTATTCCAAGCATTGTGGTATGTTTTCATCTCAGCACCATGGAAGCAGAGACAAGCGGAACACTAGGGCTTGCTGGCCAGTCAGGCCAGTGAGTGGTCGTGTCTCAAAATCAAAGTGATAGACAGTGCCTGAGGCATGATCTTTAAGGTTATCTTCTGGTCTCCACAAACAGGAGCATATATTTGTAACTGCACACACATGTGTATATGCACACATGTGGTAAATGCAGCTACACTTTGAAAAGACACCTCCTTTATTATTTCTGTCAAAGGCATAATGGGGCTGTAACTATAAGAAAACATAAGACAAACAAAGGCTGAATCATTCTGCACATAATGACTGGCCTGCCATCTTTAGCACTGACAGACTCTTCTAATACAGTGACAGGCTGAGGAAATGTTTCAGGTTTAAGAAAATAAAAGAGGTGCAGTTGCTGGGTGGTGGCGGCACATGCCTTTAATCCCAGCACTCAGGAGGCAGAGGCAGAGGCAGGCAGATCTCTGTGAGTTCGAGGCCAGCCTGGTCTACAAGAGCTAGTTCCAGGACAGGAACCAAAAAGCTACGGAGAAACCCTGTCTCAAAAATCCAAAAAAAAAAAAAAAAAAAAAAGAGGTGCGGCATCTAAGTGTAATGATTAGCTATGAACAGAAATTTATTTTTAGGACAGTACTGGCAACATTTGAATATGGAATGCACATTAGGTAATACACAATAGTATTATATAATACATAATTTAATTTTATATCTATATTGTGATTATATAAATATGTCCCAATACCTCTGCCATGAGTCTGGAATCTCAGAAAGCTAAGAAATGGGCTGGATCTAGCCATCAAAGCCACAGCTTTAATCCACTCCATATTGCTTAGCAAATTAAAGACTCAAGCGGTCAGAAAAAGAGAGATATACAGTAAAGAGAGATTCAAAAACCAAGAAAACCTCTAAATGGTTTACAGTGTGTTAAAAATATATGCAGGCTTGAAAAAAAGAGGTTAAAGTCCTTAAAATAAAAAATGAGAGAGAGTAGTTGGGTGTGGTGGTACACATCTTTAATCCCAACACTTGAGAGACAGAGGTAGACTGACCTCTGTGACTTCAAGGTGTGGTAGCACACACCTTTAACCCCAGCACTGGGAAGGCAGAGTCTGGCAAATCTCTGTGAGTTCAAGGACAGCCTAGTCTACAGAGTGAGTTCCAGGACAAAGATACACAGAAACCCTGTTTAAAAAAGCCAAAAATTAAAAATAAAAGAAATAGAGTTTAAAATAAAGCCTCATAAAGATGGAAAACACACAGGTAATCTGGATACTGTATGTTATTATGCTCTCTTTGAATTGTTTGAATGCTGAGGAAGGAGCAACAGCTACTAAAAGATATTTGCTTATAAATGCTGTTGAATTAATCCAAAATAGGTATTTTGAAAATAGCTTGACTTCAAAATTGAAGTCAAAAGGTATGTTGCTTTGGAAAAGAGATTTTGCTTTTGTTTCCACAGGAAATGAGAAGCTGTGGATTCATTCTGAATTAAGAAAAATAAGGTTTGATTAAGGAAGACCACCTGAGAAATCTCCGGTAGGAACAGTTGGCCCAGATATGAGAGTTCTACATCCAAAATAGATTCAAGACTACTGTCTGAGATGATCAAGACTCACAGGATACTCCAGTCAGAACTTGATCATAATTCTAAATTTCTTATGGGAACCTAAAGAAAATTAGACAAGATCACCTGGGTAAACTGTGGGCAAAGAGGATAGTAGAAGGGAGGGGATGAGGGAATGGTATGGCCAAGCTGGGGGGCATGAGTGGAGTAGTTAAGCAATGAAAGAGATATATTGATAGAGGGAGCCATTATGGGGTTAGGGAGAAGCCTGGTGCTAGGGAAACTTCCAGGAATCTACAAGGATGACCCCAGCTAAGACTCCTAGGCAATAGTGGAAAGGGTGGGTGAACTGGCCTTCCTCTGTAATCAGATTGGTGAATACCCTAACTGTCATCATAAAGCCTTCATCTAGTAACTGATGCTTCATCTAGTAACTGATGAGACCAGATGCAGAGCTTTATAGTCAAGCACAAGGCTAAGCTCTGGGAACTCAGTTGAAGAAAAGAGGGATTAAATGAGCAAGGTGGGGTGAGGGGGGTGTGTCAAGTTCATGATGGAGAAATCTATAGGGATAGCTTTACCAAGATCAGGGGAACTCATAAACTCTAGATTGACAGCTGTGGAGCCTGCATGGGACCAAACTAGGCCCTCTGCATGTGGGAGACAGATGTGTAGCTTTGTTTATCTGAGGGTCGCCTGGCAGTGGAGCCAGGATCTATCCTTGGTGCATGAACTAACTTTTTGGATCCCATTCCCTATGGTGAGATACTTTGCTCAGCCTTGATGCAGCAGGAAGGGGCTTGGTCCTGCCTCAACTTAATGCGCCAGGCTTTGTTGACTCCATATGGGAAGCCTTACCATTTGGGAGGAGTGGTTGGGGGAAAGGCTAGGGGGCCAGGAGGAGGGGTGGGTGGGAGAACTGTGAACTGTGGTTGGAATATAAAATGACTAAAAAAATAAATAAAGTAAAAAAAAAAAATCCCCAGAACCAACAATTAAAAGCAGTTGAGATGAGATTGGAAAAAAAAAGCAAAGCAACCCCCCCCCCTTGTACTCCACAAAATTGAAAAGTCTAAAAGAATAAATAATTTTCTCAATAGATAACAAAGTTAAATCAAATCAGATAAACAAATGACTTATAACACTTACGGAAATAGGAACAGTCATTAAAAGTTCCCCCCGTCCCCCACTACAACAAAAAAGTTCAGGGCCAGACAGAAAGTTTTAGCACAATTCTACCAGACTTTCAAAGAAGAATTAATGCCAATACTCCCTCAAATTATTCTACAAAATAGAAACAGAACAAACATTGCCGAATTCATTTTATGAGGTCACAGTCAGCCTAATACCCAACCACAAAAAGATTCAACAAAGATAATTATAGACCAATTTTAAAAAATACTCAATAAAATATTTGCAAACTGAATCCCAGAACACATCAAAAAGATGATCTACCATGATCCAGTAGACTTTGTCCCAGAGACACAGGAATAGTTCAATATATGAAAAATAGTCAATATTATCCACCATATAAATGAACTGAAAGGAAAAAATCACATAATCATTTCATTAGGTGCCTAAAATATTTTTGATAAAGTCCAACACCCCATTCATGATAAATGTCTTGGAGAAATTGAGGATACAAGGGAAAACCTAGACATAATACAGTAAGCATATAACCAACATCAAATTAGATGAAAAGAAACTCAAAGCAATTCTATTAAAATCAGAAATAAGACAAGGTTGTCTACTTTCTCTATATCTGTTTAATATAGTACTCAAAATTCTAGCTAGAGAAATAAAGACAACTGAAGGAGATCAGGGCATAGAAATTGTAAAGGAAGAAGTCAAAGAATGATATAATAGTATACATGAGCAAGCCCAAAAATTCTACCAGGGAACTCCTACAGTTGATAAGAATCTTTATCAATATGACTAGATATAAGATTAACTAAAAAAATCAGTAACTCTCTTATATAAAAATGACAAACAGACTGAGATAGGAATCAGGGAAACATCACCCTTCACAATAGCTACAAAAATATAAAATATCTTGGGGTAACCCTAACTAAGCAAGTGAAAGATTTTTTTATGACAAAACTTCAAGTCTTTGAAGAAAGAAATTAAAGAAGGTATCAGAAGATGAAAAAAATCTCCTATGCTCATGAATCGGTAGGATTAATGGTAAAAATGGTCATCTTACAAAAAACAATCTATAGGTTCAAGTAATCCCCACCAGAATTTCAACACAATTCTTTGCAGGCCGTGAAAGGACAATACCCAGTTTCATATGGAAAAACGATAAACCCAAGATAGTTATACATTGGCATTTTAAAAAGATTTCCCTCCATGTGTTCTTGACAACTTCACTTGTCTTTTAAGACTTTAGTCCATGCAGATGTTCTATGAGATGATGGACTTGAAAGTGTTTTAATGGATTGCTGTGGAAAGCTGGCTGTTGCTTGAATACTTGGTACAGAATCTCTTATTCTTTCACCTTTTTATTTTCTTTTTTATATATAATTTAATTTTTTATGTTCATTGGTGTTTGCTCTGCATGTATCTGTGTGAGGGTGTTGGATCCTCTGGCACTGGAGTTACAGACAGGTGTGAAATGCCATGTAGGTGCTGGGAATTGAACCTGGGTCCTCTGGAAGAGCAGCCAGAGTTCTTATCTGCTTAGCCATCTCTCCAGACCTACTTTGTTTACTTTTCATTCTTTGACATTTTCATTCCTGTACGTAGTGGGTTTTAGTCTTTCTCATTTCCTGTCCCCCAGTTTTATCCCTTGCTCAGACCCAGAACTTCCTCCTGACTGGCCCCCTCCCCTTTTTCACGCCTTCGTCTGTGGGAGTGACCTACTGGGCATAAGCAGGCCTGGCTCATGAGCATGGATAGAAGGTTATTTCTTGTAACATGGGCAACTCATCAGCAATTAGGTCTCTGAAGACAATCGGCATCTCTCAGCCGTCATCAACAAAGCCTCTTTTTTCAGGGCACGTGGGCAGTGAATGTAGACTCACAACCATTAAAGCAGAGAAGGGACTGGTGAGAACTCAGTCCTCAACTGGACATTTTATCACACACGCATGTGTGTATGCATATACACACAGACACGCACATGCATGCACATGTACTCCTACATGCTTACACACTCTGCTCAGAAAAGATCATGAAAAAGAGCGGAAAGAGTGCAAAAGCCAGCAGCGTTTTTTGACGTGGCAGCTTGATGCACTCATGACCTCCCTGCAGCTGACTGATCGCTATGACTTCCTTTTTTCCAATTTTAGACTCACCGTGTTGGGAATTTTCTGGTCATGAGAACCGGGACAGGAAAGTTCGGTGTAGTTGGACTTCGAATAAAATTTCCATTAACTGAAGACAATCGTTATAAAGCAACAGACACGGAAAAATGCATTTCTATTCCAATTAAAGGTGTTTTATTTAGAAGTCACGGCAGTTGTGGGGAAAACAAGATGGCACCAGTCTGTAGTGAGACTTTGAGCTGTAGAGATATAATCTGACTCCACAGCGACTGGACGGATTTCCATTTTGGATAGAGAGACATGCATTCTGATTATTTAATATAATATTCTGTATTAATTATTTGAGAATATTGTACACACAATGTATTTTGATCACATTAATACCTCCATTCCTCCCCCTAACTCCTTCAGGATTCACTCCCTCCTCCCTCTATATTAATTTCTTAATCTGCAATTTCATATTTTGGCCTGAGACGAGGTAGAAGTCAAAAGAGGCAGCTATCCTGAGTCTAGGACAGAGAGGAATAACCTCTCTAAAGATGGCTTTTCATAACAAAGGAGGTGGTGAAAATGGGCGTGTTCAGGGAAGGAAGGTCTCAGCAGCAGCAAGGGGTGGCACAGCACATGGGGCGGGGGCAGGTGGAGACGACACAGGTGGGGCGGTAGCAAGTGGTCTGGCAGCAGACCTGACCGCAGACTGGACGCAGGCAGCAGCAGGGGCGGCAACAGGGGCGGCAGCAGGGCTGGCAGCAGGGCTGGCAGCAGGGGCTGCAGCAGGGCTGGCAGCAGGGCTGGCAGCAGGGGCTGCAGCAGGGGCGGCAGCAGGGACGGCAGCAGGGCTGGCAGCAGGGGCTGCAGCAGGGCTGGCAGCAGGGCTTGCAGCAGGGCTGGCAGCAGGGGCTGCAGCAGGGGCGGCAGCAGGGCTGGCAGCAGGGGCGGCAGCAGCTGGACACACAGCAGCTGGGACGGCAGCAGCTGGGCTGACAGCAGCCTTGGCCACAGCCCTCCTCAGAGCAGACGGAGCCACAACAGGAGCTGACCATGGTGTCAGAGATGGAGGTTCTGGGTGGGTTTACAAGAGAGTGAGTTCCACGTTTTGGAGTCTCCTTGCTTCAGGCCCCCTTTTATACCCAGCTAAGTTGTTTCTGTAATTATGAAAATACTATTTCCTTGTTTTTGTTTACATGCTACAAATGCAAATTAATCGGCTACAGATTTCTAGCAAAACCTACCAACATGTAGGAAATAATTACTTGACTTTTCTCATGTTTCCTGGAGTTCCACAATGAATCACCTCTTGCATTTCCCCCTCAGTTGCCCTATTACGTGGCCTCAATCCCTGCTTGTCATGTGACTTGGCAGAGTTGTTATATGTACTTCAGTTACCATTCCAACATGATTTCAGAGGGGCTACTCATGGAGCGGGAATTCGCGGTAGATAAATTCTGGCTTCTGTTAAATGCACCACTGGAATGAAAACAGGAAGAAAATCCCCCCCCCCCCATCAAATGTGAGAATTCGGAATGCTCATGTTCCATGTTTACATTCTAGTTGCCTGCTGAGCTAGTGAAACTCCGAGGACATTCCAGGATGTGGTCAGTCTCAGAACCCCTCTGCACCGACCAAGGGTTAAGCATGACTCAGTGTTTTCCTGCCCTGAAGAGTCATCTGGGACTGAGATCTGTCTTTGGAGGTCCCCCAGTCTGAGCTAGACGAACATATTTAATAGTTTTTTTTTTTTTTTCGAGACAGGGTTTCTCCGTAGCTTTTGGTTCCTGTCCTGGAACTAGCTCTTGTAGACCAGGCTGGCCTCGAACTCCTAGAGATCCGCCTGCCTCTGCCTCCCGAGTGCTGGGATTAAAGGCGTGCGCCACCACCGCCCAGCCATATTTAATAGTTTTAAATGCATTTTTTTCTGGAATATTAAGATATCGCATTGCTATACTTTACTGACATCTTACCAAAATATTTTCATATGTTCTAGTTTTTGTAATCTGTTTAATTTTTAGAGACATTAAGATAAATATAAGACCTATTTCCAATTTTACATGTGCTTACACAGAAATTGCATTCATAGAGTTTACATCAGACATCAGGATTCCAGAGAAACGCTGCTTTCAACCGGGTAAGAGAAACTTCTCTATAGTGGGTGACAGTTAATGCAGTGACTTAGAGTCCCTAATAGGACATACCCATGAAGTAACCATAGTAACCCCAAATACACATATTTAGAATGACAAATGAAATGAGAGCTAAGGGTAGTTACCATTTTATTCAGTATACATTTAGATGTGGCCAATAGCAACAATAAGTGAGCTCAGAAGGTTTATATAATTATATAACATATATATATATTACATTTATATAATTATGCATGCTACATATGTGACAATAGTAATCAAAGAGAAGGAGGCCATTGATTAGAGAGAGTGGAAAGGTATGGAATGATTTGGAGGGCGGAGACATGGGTGGACGGGGAGGGAAGAAAGGGAAGGGGGAAATGATGCAATTCTATTTTAACTAAAGGTTAAGTTTTTAAAAATATGAAATAAAATGGACTCAGTGTCACTTGTTTGCAAATATGGTATCACCAATTGTATAATGGACATAAACATTAAACTTAAAATGTTTCAATATATTTTTATTTACTGACACCTAAAAATCCTTGTATTGGTATAAACAAAGTACTTTTGCACATGCTCTAAAGGGTTCTCCATGATTGTGGTGATTGTTTGTGTTCTAACAAATAAAGCTTGCCTGAAGATGAGAGTGTAGAGCTAGCTACTAGTTAGCTAAAGAGGGCAGTAGTGGTGGCACACACCTTTAATTCCAGTGCTCGGGAAGCAGAGGCAGATGGATCTCTATGAGTTCAAGACCACCCTGGGCTACACTAGATCGATCCAGTCTCAAAGGGAAACAGAGCCAGGCAGTGGTGGCTCACACTTTTAATCCCAGTACCTGGGAGTCCACATGCCTTTAATTCCAGCACTATGAAGGTGGAGACAGTAAGGGATATGGCTAGGCAGAGAAAGAAATACAAGGCAGAGGAGACAAGAGCTCATTCTGAGGATTCGTAGGGACAGGATCACCCCTTTGGTCTGAGGAGTCAGTAGAGATAAGAACTAGTGACTGGCTTCTCTACTTCTCTGGTCTTTCAGCAAGCTTTATTTGTTAGATCACAAACAAAATATCACAACACAAGATAAGAATGCTTTTTTTTTCCAAGAAAGGGAGACCAGGCTGGCCTTGAACTCACAGAGATCTTCCTGTCTCTCCCTCCTGAGTGCTGGGATTAAAGGTGTGCGCCACCACTGTTTTTGTTTTTGGTGGTCAGAAAACTGAATGTCCAAGAAATTTTCATCCTAGATCACCCTAAGAAAGACCAAGAAAGTGAAGTGAGTTCATTATGAGACAATAAAGTGACCAAGAGAATTCAGAGATCACAGTAGCATGGGTGTCTGAAGCTATGAAGGCATCTCTCTCTCTCTGGAGGCACTAGAATTGTGAGCATCTGCTGATGAACAGTTTTAATTTTCCTGAGGAAATTGCCATAGAGCTCACACATTTCCAGAAATTTTGGGTTAAGAGTGACACGTTGAAAATCAAATGAGAGCTATATGTTTAGAGAGGAATGAAAGAAAGAAGGAAGGGCATGAGGAAAGAAGCTCAAAACTTATGCAGCTAATAATGGAACATACTGGAACATGGTCTGCTTTCATGCCCTGCTGAGGGGCCTCGACTCATAAATAAATCATCAAAAGAGGCAAGACACTCTGTGTGAGTCAAGATCAAGGTGGAGCCTAATCACACCTTCATACTTGTGATGTGTTAGGCATCATTGGCCTCTGAGCCCACCAGGAAGTTCTTTGGGTTTCTCTGGCTTCCAAGGACACAGTCACCTGGCATTCTCCTTCCCTACACCCTGTGTTTCAGAGTTGGCTTTGTGGACATCCTGCCTCCCTTGGAGTGTCACGTCTCATTAGTCTGATGGCTCACACATGTGTCAGGTGGCTTTAGAGAGTGTGAGTGTGGAAGGACATTGACATGAGAACACAGAGGTCTGCAGGTCCTGGGTCTGTCCTAGATGGATGCCATAGATGTAAAAGCGTGAATGTAACCCTCCTGGGATAATGCTAATGACAAGACCCCAGAGAAACTGAATCTATGTGAGACCTGTTAATTTCAGGAACGTATCACAAGCAAAACCAGAGGATCTTGACAGGCTAAGGCTTATGACCACTGACCTTAAATTCCCCACCAATATGAGTGATTTATGGGGCAGCCTTAGACTAGATTTTCAGTCTGTTGTGTGACGCATAGGAAATGAAATTGCAAACAAAGGCTTAAATATCCCTGACTAGTGGTGTGGTGGTATATCTTGAGTTTGTCCCTCCTGCGGAAGCTCATCATTGCTGATTCCTCTCCGGGCTGACCTACATTTTCTTTAATTCAGAATACATATGAATGCCATGTCAATTTCCAGATACCTAAACTCCTCTATATTAAATGGATATGGAGAAGACATGATTTTGGTTAGATCTGAGAAAAAATGGCTCCAAAGATGTTATAATTTCTTTAATGCCTAAGAAGGCACATTAATCTCCTCAGAAATCTAGGGTTGTCCCAACCTCTCCAACATGAAGATTCCAATTTATAGAATCATGAACATTCCTGGTGGATCTACATTTCATGCAAAAAAAGGAACAAACACTTGATGTCTCAGGAGGATTCCTTTCTCAAGTGGATTAAGCAGAGACCTGCTTCTCTCTGAGTTGACATTAGGTCTCAGAAAGGATCTGTCTCCTTACCTTTGAAGTATGTTAATCAGCAAAGCTATACAGGATGTCTTGAATATTTGATCCAGGTTCTGTACACATTGGATAGAAATGATTGTTTTGAAAACACCTTATTTACAGTGAAGATGTGTGCAAGTGAATTCTACCCTGAGGATTTGATGTACCTCCTCATATTTTGTAGTTCAGTGACAGGGACACAACAGTATGATGGCATCAACTCTCAGAGTCTTGGTGAGGGGAACTTTGGAATAAACATTTTTGGGGCTGAGGGGATCTTTAAAGCTGTGTAAATTTTGGTGGTCTTCCAGATCATCTATTCATCATCACAGAATCTATACTTGTGCTCAAATTTATCTGTAATTCTCCCCCGAAAAGTTCTGACCTTACAGGTATCTGTACCCAGACTTCACATACATAGATATATCCATTTTTAATGAAAGACGGTATGGTACCCTTTTGTAGAGTAATTGCTGCTTCTGGTTCAGCCCATATATTTTAATCTAGTAGGCATTGATGTGTTTTCCTTTCCATTGACTAGAATACACTAATACTTCAAACCAAGGAATCCAAAGATGATTGAATTTACTGAGTTATCTTCTCCTTAGTCCATTCAGGAATAAAATATGTGCTTCTTTGTATTAACCCAGGTTCTGTTGATATGGTGGTTTGTTCCAACCAAAGGCATACTTCTTTTTCTACAGGAATGAAAGATTTCCTGACAACTTTTACTCTAAGCTTTAATTATGGTGTTTTAATTAAGGTGTTTAAAATATCAAGGTGCTAAAGAAGGTAGAAGGACAGAGAGGGAGAAAAAGGAAAGAGATATCTTAATTCAGGAAGTCAGTAAAAGGCTAGTGAGAAACATGGTACTAGGGAAATTCTCAGGATTCCACAGGATGACCCCAGCTAAGACTCTAAGCAACAGTTGAGAGGATGATTAAACTGGCCTTCTTCTGTAATCAGATTGATGACTACCTCAGTTGTCATCACAGAACCTTCATCTAGTGTGGAAAATCCTTCTGTATATATGTTGCTTTTATGTTTTAATGAATAAAGAAGCTTCTTTCATCCAATGGCTTAACAGAGTAAAGATAGGCTGAAAGAGATATACAAAATACAGCTAGGTGGGGGAAAACAAAGCTGAATGCTGGGAGAAAGAAGGCAGAGTCAGGAGAAGGCATGGAGCTGCCAAAGGAGAAAGACATGAGCCACCAGCCAGAACCTTGCTGGTAGGGCACAAGCCTTATGGTAAAATATTAAATAATAGAAATGGGTTAACCCCAGATATAAGAGCTAGCTAGAAATATGCTTAAGTGATTTGCCAAACAGTGATTTAATTAATATAGTTTCTGCATGATTATTTTGGGTCTGGGAAGTCGGGAATGAACGAGCAGCCTTTCACAGCAAATTGCCACTCCAACATGGCCAATTATATCCATGTAAAGCCTGACAAAGCTTAAAAAGGAATTCTAGACACAAAATAACGGAGTTAAGCATGGCTTAGCACTGTGGCTTCTTTAAGAAAGGTTCTTCTGATTCAGTGGTAGGAAAAAATCATCACCACCACCAACAAACCACACAGTTTCTGATTGATGGCTTCCTGGGCTGTGCTACTAGCATGAACTCTAGCTCTTTCAGGAGGCCGAGCACTTGAATGAGGTTTCTGGGGAGCATGCTGCAAGTTACTTGATGGCAGCATGGGCCAACTGGTTACCAGAGTTGAGGTGATGAGCATGGCTCCCACCCAGCAGTCTCAGAGGCAATGAACAGACTTCTACCATACTGAACTAAGTGGAGTCAAAAGGTAAAGCAGCCTTAGTCCTGGCTTTTAGTCCTAGGAAGGGATATGGTTAGGCAGAGAGAGGAATATAAGGTAGGACGAGACAGGAGCTCAGTCTGAGGATTTGTAGGGACAGGGCTGCTCCTTTGGTCTGACAATTCAGGAGAGGCGTTTATACTCAAGAACCTGCTGGCATCCAGAAAAGTGGCCTTCCCTGATATCAGATTTAAGCTTTGTAGTTTCTAGGAATCTGACCTGCTTCTGTGACTATCTACCAGATTATGTTTCAAGAGAATTTCCTTATTAGATGTTTTCTTTTGGAAAAGTTCCTGGGTCTGGTTGTTAGTGAATTCCACATAGTTCACACACCATGAGGTGGCTTCCGTTTAAAGACAGTCTCCTCTAGAGTGTAACTGTCATGGCCACTACTCTCTAGGGCTCAGCTACAGGAAGTGGACAAAATGGACAAATAAATAAAGATTAATAGAGAAAATAATGGTGTAAACCTTGAAAGAGAAAAATGAAAGGTTAAGCGGGAAGTGATCCAGAGGTCACAGCACATATGGGGACTACCCATGTTATGTGAAAATGTGAACAAGGCCAGAAACACTGAGACTTGGGGGACAGGGCTCTGAGATGGGGTACTTCATGTGGTCAGGATGGAAGGAAGCCAGCACAGAGTACCTGCGAGCAGGACATGACTGGATGGGACTGGCTTCCATTTCCATCCTAGAACATGAGACTGAGACATGATCAGTAAGTGTGAATGGGAGCATGTGCTTACTAACGTCCTCCTCCACTTGCTCTGGGTCTCATGGTTCAACCCTCTTGCCCAGAGCTTCTCCCTCTGACTGAGAAACCTCTGGTAGAGAGAACCACATGGGAGCTCCAAGAAAACACCTCCTGCATTGCAGCAGGAACAAAGAGAAAACAGAGGCACAGGGAAATAAATCTGCTATGTTTTTTTTTTCTTTTGCTATTTTGAGAGGAGCTAAAAATAAATCGAGAACTAAGAGTAATTAATGAGAGATAAGGAGATATGACACATTTGCATTTGGATGTCTAAAATTTAGATTTAATATATAGAAATACTTCTATTAAAGGAATGAGACAGAAAATAAACATCAGAATGGGATTAACATGCTAGATTAAAGGGAAAATCCAAATTTATCTGGTTAGGAAAGAGTAAGTACATTTTGAGGCCTAAATCAAGATCAAAGACATCAATCTTTTGGGATTCATGTCACAGGGGTCTACATCTGGAATTCTGGGTGATGAAGATCAGGGGACTGTGAGGGAGAGTGCTCAGCAGCAAGAACAACTAGAGCATGCTGGGCGGCAGCAAGTGGGGCGGCAGCAGAAGGAGATGCAGCACTGGGGTCTGCAGCACTGGGGTCTGCAGCAGCTGGACACACAGCAGCTGGGACAACAGGGGCGGCAGCAAGAAGGCCTGCAGCAGCTGGAAATGCAGCAGCTGGGTTGGCAGCAAGAAGGCCTGCAGCAGCTAGAAATGCAGCAGCTGGGTCGGCAGCAACAGGGGTGGCAACAGGAAGGCCTGCAGCAGCTAGAAATGCAACAGGTGGGGCGGCAGCAACAGGGGCGGCAGCAGGAAGGCCTGCAGCAGCTAGAAATGCAGCAGCTGGGTCGGCAGCAGCTGGGGCGGCAGCAGGAAGGCCTGCAGCAGCTAGAAATGCAGCAGCTGGGGCGGCAGCAGCTGGGGCGGCAACACACAGACTGACAGCAGCTGGGTCTGCAGCAGCTGGACACACAGCAGGTGGGCCTACAGCAGCTGGACACACAGCAGGTGGGCCGGCAGCAGCTGGGCTGGCAGTAGCCTTGGCCACAGCCCTCCTCAGAGCAGACAGAGCCACAACAGGAGTTGACCATGGTGTCAGAGGTGGAGGTTCTGGGTTGGTTTACAAGAAGGTGGGTTGGAAGATTTGGAAGTGGGAGTCTCCCTGCCCACATCCCCTTTTATACCCCACTGAGGGGCTGCTGTCCTCACATGCAGCATTCTTTCCTTGCTATCATCTAGGTTAATTAATAGGTGATTATCAAATTAGGAGAGTTTCTTTTCCTGGTTACACTGGTAAGGTAAATGAATAATTTCCTTCCTAGCATGTTAGTTTTCACTGTCAGTTCTTCCTGAACCATCTCCTAAGTGGCTTTTTTTCCCCTTTTAATTTCTTTCAAGAGAGCTGTCACCTGACATTTGATGTCCTGGTCTCCATGTTTCAGTGTCATTTTTGTGGCACCTCTTCCTTTCCTGTAAGCAGTCACATGCTTTATTTTAATTGCTCTGGTGACCCTGGAAGATACAGGTACTTTACACTGATGGCTCATGCATAAAAGACCAGTGGCTTGGAACAGGAATGCATTGGCACCAGGCTCTGTTATTGGCTCTTGTTAATGTGACTGTTTCTGCAGATCTTAGCTGGCTAGGGCTGAAGGCATGGTAACTTTGTAGAGAATCACAGTCCAGGGGGCATTGGCATCACTTAACTAGAAGAATGAATGTGGACATATGATTTATGCACAGCAAGTTAGAAATGGCAGCAGAGGCAGGGTGGTATATAACTAAGAGGGTTGAATGTGTATCAATAGAATATTTATGTTCCTCACAACAGATGAATATGGACAAAACTGGTATGGCCACGACTCTGTATCTATAGGAGGCTATATGCATGCATATATGCATAATTGAAAGATAGTAATAGTATTGGATAACCAATTGGTGTGCTCTTCCCTGGGAGAGACTATTCTCTTCACTATCAGCATTCCTCTGTTTCTCATAGCTCCTTGTTGAGGGTTGAGGCCTCATGTGCATCCCTCTGTTCACTTATGGGTAAACGCGTCTATTACTATTGTCTTTGTTTAGCTCATGTTTAGGTAGTTATGTTAGTAAGACCTGAAAACATAAGCAAGTAACGTTATACCGACTGTGTATATTGTACTTATGTATGTGTGTGTATGTGTGTGTACTGTGCATGTATACTGCACCCACATGCAACATACATGTAACAGCAATAATGATAAAAGAAAGCCATCGATTTGAAAAAGAGAAAGGGGTAATATAGGAGAGCATTTGGAGGGAGGAAAGGTAAAGGAAAATTCTGTAATAATAATAGAAACTCAAAAAAATAGTTTGAATATAGAAATCAAGATCTTAAAGGTAAATGAGCAAGGGCATGAGCTGAGTTGGAAAGTGTCCATCTTTCCTCTGGAATCCGGTCCTGACATGGTACTTAGGCCTGTGACACATCAGCTATCATCAGGGCAGTTTCTCAAGTTAAAAGACCTAAAGTGTTGTATACAGTAATAATTCCTTCACTCCCTTATTATAATCATCTCCAGGGAAACAGTGCATGTGCATTTGGAGGCTGGTACGGAGTAGATCAGAGTTCACACAAAGTGATAGTCAGAAAACAAATGTGTATGTCCCACTTCACCCTCATAGTCTCTCCACTGTGTAAACCAGAGTACCTGAAGGTAATTTTCTCAGTCAATATATGTGAAATCCAGCAACTCCTTCCTTTGAGCTGTAGAGTAAAAACTACAATAGAAAGGCCACAAGAAAACCTCAAAACAACATAACTATATTCATTGCAAGACTGTTTGGCCAATAGCTTATGCATATTTCTGTCTAGCTCTAATAACTTTATTTCCATTACTTTATATATCATCACATGGCTCGTGGTTTACAAGCAAATTTCTGGCGCATCTGTCTCTCATGGCAGGTACGTGGTGGCGTTCCATTGACTCTGCCTTCTTTCTCCCAGCATTCAGTTTAGTTTTCCCACCTAACTCTATTCTGCCCTCTCACAGACAAAAGCAGCTTCTTTATTCATTAAACAATAAAAGGAACAGATGTAAAGAAGGACTTCCTATGGCATTGTGGATTATTTCACTCTTGGAAGTAGACACAGGAACGAGGGTGGACATTAAGTTCACTGTGTTGTTGGAAGGGGCAATGACTTTGGATGGACTAAGAGCAGGTAAAGAAGGACTGGAGGCAAGAAGGTGCTTCAGCTTAGAGCAGAACACCAAAAAGATCATACCGGAGTGGGACAGCAAGTAGCCAAAGCAATAAGCACCATGGAAGACAGTGCAGGGGACAGCAATGCATCCAAGTGGAAGGGAAGATGAGTTGGGGATCTTCCAATTCTCATTTCTTGAGATCCATGACCTATGATTTGAGCCACTCTCCCACTGTATCTTCCTTGGTGTTCATAGAATGGCGATGATGCACGATTCTGTTTATGGTCCTCATGAAATGCATTTATCATATAAGAAAGCAAGATAAGCAAAGAGGAGCTGGGACTCAATTACTTTGCTATTGCTGAATTGAGACCTCACTGCCAAAGACCCAAATAGAAGAATGGATTCATTGAGAATAAGGATGGCAAAGAACTGGAAGATACTAACTCATGGTGCTGATAAGTTTTGCAGGGACTCAGGGGGTCTCTGGAGTAATGACACACAACCCATATAACTGCAGCCACCACAAAGAAAAATTGAGATAAGTGACAGTGTCGTTGGCCTCTGAAACCTAAAGCCATCCGCACAGATATGGTCCTGGAGGAAGACTCCAAATCCTAATACTTAACTGAGAATTCTACCATGAGAGATGGAGGCTTTCAATATACCTCTCTTTGGGGGCAGTGTTCATTCTAAACACCTGGGTGTTGATGTTGGCCAGACTACTGAGGTCAGTGTATTCATAGTAGAGGGGATATGTGTTTCCCCAATCAGGGTACTCAACTCGAAATGTATGAGAAATGAAGACCCTTGAGATTTGGATTGTGTGCTTGCATAGCATCACATTTATTCAAGGAGGCGAAGATCTCCAGTTATCAAGACCAAGGCAACTATTGTAAACACTGGTAAATAAAAGTCATGCAATTCTTGAGCAGAGAGAAGCAATAGGTCATGTATTCCAATAAGAGAAGGGAAGCAGGATACAGGGGAGCATACTTGTTGAACAAATGCAGCTTCAGTTGGAAGACATGGATACACATTTTGAAGAACATATCTGGGTGTGGGGACAGTCTCTACATCAGGAGCATTTGAGGCTGTAAGCAAGAAGAGCAGGGCATGATGCCCAAGAGTATGAGGCCCAAGGGCATCTTTTCCTGGAGGCCCTAGGATAGCTGTTTCTCCAGCAGGTGGTCTAGCAGCAGTTGGACCCACAACAGCAGGGTTGGCAGCAGCAGGGGCGGCAGCAGGTGGTCCTGCAGCAGGTGGTCTGGCAGCAGCATGGCTGGCAGCAGCATGGGCCACAACAACACTGCATTGTGTCAGAGTCTAGAGGGTCTGTGTGGGTTTGCAAGAAGATGGGTTGGACTGTGGTTTGGAAACCACCTTGCCCAGGTCTGCTTTTATACCCTGCTGATGGGCCTCCATCCCATGATTTTCTTGTAAACAAATCATAAAATGTGGCAAGACACTCTGCATTAGTCAAGATCCAGGCGGAGCCTAATCACACCTTCGTACCTGTGATGTGTTAGGCATCACTGGCAACTGATGGCCTTTCAACCCAACGGGAATTGCTTTTGCATTTCTCTGGCTTCCAAGGGAACAGTCACCTGATATTCTCCTGTCCCACATCCTGTGTTTCAGAGCTGGTTTTGTGGGACCTCTGTCTCCCTTGGAGTGTCACGTCTCATTAGTCTGATGGCTCACACATAATGGGTCAGGTATCTACAGAGAGCGTGAGTCTTGAAGGACATTGGCATGAGAACACATAGGTCTGCAGGTCCTGGCCCTGTCCTAGATGGATGCCGAGGATAGATGGGGCTCTGCTTGGATAATGCTATTGACAAGATAGTAGAGAAACAAATCCATGTGATTCCTCTCAATGAAAGGAACTCATTTCACACAAAGGCAGCATATGGTGACAGGCTAGGTCCTATGACTACCAAGGTTAATTTCTCCAAACACGTGAATGACAGACAGTCTGGACTTAGACCTTGTTTTCAATCAGTTGTGTGATGTGTGGAAAATGAAAGCAAATAGAGGAGCCATTCAGGTCCTTGAGCAATGGGTATTGGTGGCATACATACAGTACATCCCTATTGCATAGTCATAAAGTGCATGGGTCCTCTTGGAGTGGTCCCAGATGACCTCCAGCATCTCTAGGTGAACTGAGAGGATCTTTAGGACTCTAAACTCTACAGCTAAGGAATCATTCTTAGCACATTGGTGTCCATTAGTTCTGCTCTGAGATGCATCAGCTGAGTATTAGAGGATTTGTAACCTGGGAAGGAATCTGGGCACTGCCCCAGCTCTGTTATGTAAGAACATAATATCATAAGGAAACCAGGGCATTCTCCACAGACTGTGTCATCTGCAAACAGATAATAATCACTGGAAGTCAAAGAAATTGCCCTTTCTCAAGAGCACTGGGCAGATTCTTGCTGTTTCCTGAGATGACATTTTGTCTGTCTGTGGAAGGATCTGTCCACTTAGCTCTCAAGTTTGATGGTCAGCATCATCAGGACAGGATCTCTCCAGAATGAGTTCACAGCTTTGGGGAAACCATAGCAAAAACAGGATGCAAGCCATGGGAATTCTGGAAAACCATGGCATTGGATGGACCAACTCACATCCTACATTTCAAACAAGGATGAGTTCAAAGATCTTCAGGTGAACTCTTAGAACCCTACCAATGGTCAGGGCATCTGTAGGTGATGTAGAGTACCTGATTCCTGTAGAATTGATGCTTGATGCTCACAGCACCCAATTCATCCTCATAGAATGCATTCCTGCTACAGAAATGAACCTGCAGTTTGTCCTTGTGCTCTTTAGGCCTTATGTCTGGACTCTGTGGGAGTCAACGCACATATGTGTACATGCACTCACATACATATATTTGTTTTTAAGGATCA